CTTTATTGAAGTACATCTTTTTCTTTTAATCTGTTTTCTGTTGCTTATAACAATACCTGAACGTGGGAAATTTAGAAATAAAAGAGCTTATTTCTTACAGTTATGGAGGCTGGGAAGTCTAAGGTTTAAGGGGCACTTCTTTCTCATAGGGACTCTAAAGAATCCCAAGGGGGGCACAGGTATCACATGGTCAGATGGCTAAGGCTGCTAGCTCAGGGCTTTCTCTTAGAAAACCACCAGTTCCCCTCCCATGGTGACCCATTAATACATTAACCTTTGACTCCATTAATTCATGAATGAGCTAATTCATTCATGAGCACAGAGCCCTTATGATCACTTCTGAAAAACCCCACCCACCCCCACCTTTTTTTTACAACAGGGTCTCACTCTGCAGCCCAACCTGGAATGCAATGGTGCAGTCATGGCTCACTGCAACCTTGATATCCTGGGCTCAAGGGATCCGCCTGCTTCAGCTTCTCAGTAGCTTGGACCACAGGCATGTACCACCATGCCCAGCCAATTTACTGAATTTTTTTGTAGAACCATGTTCTCGCTATCTTGACCAGTCTGATCTTGAACTCCTGACCTCAAGCAATCCTGCGTCAGCCTCTCAAAGTGCTGGGATTATAGGTGTGAGCCACTGCACCCGGCCTGGGATTAAGATTTAACATGAGTTTTGAAGAGGACAGATATTCAAACCCTAGCAGTATGGTTTACAAATAAGAAAATGTGTATCGTAAGTGTATGGTATTAATACATGAGTTTGGACAAATGTTTATAATCATCACCACAATCAAGGTGTAGAGTGTTTTGGTCACCCCAGGAAGTTCCCGTGTGCTCTATTGCAGTCACTCTCTTCCCTAACTCCCACCCCAGGCAACCCCCAATCCAATTTCCATCACTACAGGTAAGTTTTGCTTGTTTTAGGACTTTATATGTTAATGGAATCATACATTTTTGTGTCTGGATTCCTTGACACAGCAAATTTTTTTTTATATTCACTCAAGTATTTGCAATAGTTCACTCCTTTTTATTGCTAATTAGTATTGGTTGCCAAAGTTTATGATTGTTTATTCATTCCTCATTTAATGGACGTTTAGTTGCTTCTCGTTTTTTCACTAATATGAATATATGAACATTCTTAGATAGACTGCCAAATGATTTTCCGAAGGGTTGGTACCATTTTACATTCGTACAAGCAATGTATATGGATTCACTTGCTCTAAATCTTTGCCAACATTTGGTGTGCTGGTCTCTGTAGCCATTCCAGTGCTAGTTTTCTCTCCTAGTTTTAACTTAGGATTTCTGATTACTTATGTTGAGTATCTTTGCATTTGCTCTTGGCCTGCTACATCTTTTGCAAAGTATTTAAATCTTTTGTTCATCTATTCTTATTGAGTTGCAGGGGTTCTTTCTTTTGGAGACAACTCCTTTATCAGATATTGCTTTTATGACTATTTTCTCTTAAGTCTCTGGCTTCCCTTTCTAATTTATTTGCCTCTGTGTGTGTGTGGCAGGGGTATTTTTCTGTACAGACGAAAAAAAAAAATGTTATCCAGGCTGGTCTTGAACTCCCAGGCTCAAGTGACCCTCCTGCTTCAGCTTCCCAAAGTGCTGGGATTACAGTTGTGAGCCACTGCACCTGGTCTCTTTCCAGTTTCTTAACAGTACCTCTTGAGAAGCAGATGTGGCTTTTTTTTTTCTTTTTTTGAGACAGAATTTCATTCTGTCGCCCAGGCTGGAGTGCCATAGCGCGATCTCGGCTCAATGCAACCTCCACCTCCTGGGTTCAAACGATTCTTCTACCTCAGCCTCCCGAGTAGCTGGGATTACAGGCTTGCGCCACCATGCCTGGGTAATTTTTGTATTTTTAATAGAGACAGGGTTTCGCCATGTTGGTCAGGGTGGTCTCAAACTCCTGACCTTAAGTAATCCACCTACCTCGACCTCCCAAAGTGCTCGAACTATAGGCATGAGCCACGGCGCCCGGCCTCCTTTCCATTCAGTTTCTTAACAGTACCTCTTGATAAGCAGATGTGGCTTTTTGATGAAATCCAATTTATCATTTTTTTCTTTTAAGATTCTTTTTATCATTTCAAATATGTGCCAGTCCCTAGGTAACAAAGATCTGTTTCCTTCTGGATGGCATGCTGTGGGATTAGTATTTGTTATGTCAGATTAGTTTTTGTGTATGGAGTGAGGCAGTGATCAGTAAGATGCATTTCAAGTAAGATGAAGTTACAGCCAGAATACAATAACTCCCTAGAAGTTGGTGGAAGCACCTTCCAATTTTTTTTTTTTTTTTTTTTTGAGACAGAGTCTCGCTCTGTCACCCAGGCCAGAGTGCTGTGGCACGATCTTGGCTTACTGCAGCCTCCACCTCCTGGCTTCAAGAGATTCTTGTGCCTCAGCCTCCCAAGTAGCTGGGATTATAGGAACCCGCCACCACGCCCAGCTAATTCTTTGGTATTTTTATTAGAGATGGGTTTTCACCATGTTGGCCAAAGTCAAAGGTGCTGGCTGAATCAGCACCTCTGTGTATCCCCACAGTGTCCATGGCCGTTTTCTTCAGGGCTCATGTGGTGTGCTGCAACAGCGTTAGGGGGCAGGTGCACTCTGGTTTGCTGTGCTGGTGCAGCAGGGAGACCTGCCCAGGGTCACTGTGGCTCCGGAGTGGAGCAAAGGCCAAAGCTCAGGGTTCACCTCCTCAATCTGCTGTTGTAACTAACACTGTGCCTCTGCAAACTCTCTCCTGTGCGTCCAAGTCCACCAAGGTAAGGTCTGTTGTGGATTTAGCTGCTCTGAGTCTCTGCTAAAAGGAGCAGCCGATGAATTGACTCTTTTTTCTACTTTCAGCATCTTCACTGCATGTTTCAAATCGTGAGAGCCTGATAGGCTGAGTTTTGTTTGGGGAAAGTGCCTTTTTTTCCTGTTGTTGTTATTAACACAGTCATTCTCTGTTGTCCAGGTTGGGGTACAGTGGCGTGATCTCCACTCACTGCAACCTCCACCTCCCGGGTTCAAGTGATTCTCCTGCCTCAGCCACCCAAGTAGCTGGGATTACAGGCACCCACCACCACAACTGACTAATTTTTGTGTTATTAGTAGAGATGGGGTTTCACTATGTTGGCCAGACTAGTCTTGAACTCCTGACCTCAGATGATCCACCTGCCTTAGCCTCCCAAAGCACTGGGATAACAAGCATGAGCCACTTTAAAAAATTTTAATCTACTTCTAAAAAAATTAAAAAAATTTTTTAATCTACTGTTTACACAGTGTTCTTGTACCTTTTTAAAAAGTGATGGAGCTTATAGTAATGGGTGAGGATTACTGCTACAGCAGCAACTTTTAAAAGGACTATCTTGTGATTTGGAATGCACAGAAAATGAAGGGGAAAGGCAAACATCTGGCTTTCACAGGTATGAACTCAGAAAATCAAGTCAGTTCATGTCCTCACCTTAGAAGCAGTGGAAGCAAAGGGACGTTTAGAGCGCTTTTTAGAGACCGATAATATTACGAAGTCAAAATGGAACGATAAATGGAAAAAGGACAAAAGGACAGTCTATTCCAGAATAGTACTTTCTTGTGGAAAATGTGATCCTCCGAGACAGCACAGGTGGTTACTGTGTTTATAAGGGACATGTGTTCATATTTAGTCCATTTTTTTCCTCTGCATTTTTTTTTTTTTTTCCAGACAGGGTCTCACTCTGTCGCCCAGACTGGAGTGCAGCGACATGATTACAGCTCACTGCAGCCTCGAACTCCTGGGCTAAAGTGATCCTCTCACCTCAGCCTCCCAAGTAGCTAAGATTATAGGCATGCTCCACCACACCAGGCTAAATCTTTTTAGTTTGTTTTTTTCATCAACTTTATTTTAAGTTTCAGGGTACATGTGCACGATGTGCAGGTTTGTAACCTAGGTAAATGTTTGCCATGGTGGTTTGCTGCACAAATCAACCCATCACCTCTGTACAAGCCAAGCATCCATTAGCCATTCTTACTCCTCCCGCCTCCTCGTTCCACTGGCAGACCCCAGGGCATGCTGTTCGCCCCCATGTGTCCATGTGTTCTCATTGTTCCGTTCCCACTGGCCAGGTTGCCGAGAAGAAGAAATGCTTTTACATTGTTGGTGGGAATGTAAATGAGTTCAACCACTGTGGAAGACGGTGTGGCGATTCCTCAAAGATTTAGAAGCAGAAATACCATTTGACCCATCATTCCTGTTACTGGGTATATACCCCAAGAAATAGAAATCATTGTATTTTGAAGATACATGAACGTGTATATCTTTTTTTTTTTTTTAAGAGATTGGGCCTCGCTATGTTGTCCAGGCTGGTCTGAAACACCTGACCTCAAGCAATCATCCTGCCCTGGCCTCCCAAATTGTTGAGATTACAGGCATGAGCCACTGAGCCCAGTCTTCCTCTACAACTTCTAACTTAGTGCCATGCCCCATAGTAAGATAGTGTACATTATGATTATGTATTTGTATTTATATATTGCTGACCTAAACAGAAGTTTCAGAAAAAAAGCTTAGCCTTTCTCTGCAATGCATTCTGATAGTTAACATTTTTTGTACCATTAAAAAAATCCCAACACTTTGGGAGGCTGAGGTGGGTGGATCACCCAAGGTCAGGAGTTTGAGACCAGCCTGGTCAACATGGCAAAACCCCATCTCTACTAAAAACACAAAACTTAGCCGGGCATGGTGGGTGGCTTTAGTCCCAGCTACTCTGGAGGCTGAGGAAGGGGAATCACTTGAACCCGGGAGGAGGAGGTTGCAGTGAGCTGAAATCATGCCACTGTGCTCCAGCCTGGGTGAAAGAGTGAGACTCCATCTCAAATAATAATAATAATAATAATCCTGTTTGCAACCCCATACTAAATTTCCTTGACACCACAATATGAAAATCACCACAATATGAAACTGAAATTGGATTTTTATTTTTATTTTTGAGACAAGATCTCACTCTTGCCCAGACTGGAGTGCAGTGGTGCGATCACCACTCACTAACACCTTGATCTCCTGGCCTCAAGTGATCCTCCTGCCTCAGCCTCCCAAAGTGCTGGGTACCATGCTCAGCTTAGAATGGGGATTTTGAGGATATAGCCAGGCTCTCTCAAACAGAAGGTAAGAGGAAAGATAGCTGAACTTGGAATTAGGAAACCGAGGCCAAGTCCAGGCTCTGATGTTTGTTAAAGGTGAAAATCAGCACAAATCTTACTACCTCTAGCCCTCCATTTCCCCATCTATCCGATGACAACCATCCCACCTCCATGTACCTCACAGAATGCTCAAGGAAAAATTAAATCATTTTCAAAATGTAAAAATTATTTTAAAAGATTGCATAAGTAATTCAATTATCATAGTCCTAGTCACAAATGGTAAAGCACTTGTAGAGCTGAGGAACTTTCTGTCCTTTAAGAGATGCAGCTAGGAAGTGAGATGCACTCAGGAAAACCAGGCAGCACTTGAATTTATTCTCAGTGGTGAGGCGTGACTCATGCCCTTCCCTCTGTAAGACTGCCTTCCCTAACGCCTGGATTCTTGCCTGTTCCTGACACTTCTTTTCACCCTTACCCTTCTTCAGGTAGGCTGTAATTGTTTGTTTATTCAATTCATTCAGCATCTTCCTTGAGTGCTATGTATTAGGTGCTAAGTTAGGCACTTAAGACAGAGTGGTGAACCAGGCAATATGATCTGATCTCCTGGGATGGCGCTTTAGTAGGGCATGTATTAGATAGGTTTTTTTTCTGCTTGACTGTCCCAACTAAATCGATTTGGACAGCAGTATTAGAAACCTAAAGAGACAAAAAGACAGATCATCCAGCAGGCTTTCAGCAGCCTGTGGATCACTGTAGCAAAGTCATAGGTCTCAGATGCATGGAGAAGATGATGACCTGGATTTAGTGAACAAATCCATGGTCAGCAAAGGTGGAGAGGAGGCTCTGGATATAGAGGCAGCAGATGCCACCGCAGCAAAACCACTCTTCAGAAGATGACCAAGCCTCCGTGATTACCTGTCCAGGACAGCCGTTTCTATAAGATCATTAACAACAAAGAAAGCAAGCACCAGCAAACCCAGCAGCGCTCTAGGAAGAAGAGAAAGCCCTGTTTTCGGGACTAAGGGAGTAGGTGAACCATCACTCTAATTTGCCTTTGGCAAAATTTTCACATCGTCAGCATTGCTCACTGATGCTGTAATGCTAGTTTCAAAATCTGATCGCCCTTGTCTCTCTACTGCTTACTCAAGGGCTGTGTTGACATAAACAGCATTTACCCTGTTAAACTTAAGAGAGGAATTATGCAGCTGTCTGGGGTCACCTTGGGAAAGGGTAGGGTGAGTGGCAAGCCGTAATGATGTGACCTAGTAGGTCCTTCCTACCTCCCCAACCCCTAGTAAAGCTCCTCACCCACTGGATACCTGGAATTCCACCCGGGTGACTTGCTATTCTGGAATGAGAATGCTTTTCCTCCTCTCTAGCCTGCTTTCAAACTGTAATTGACCCTAAAATCTCTATACATGAAACCATAATCTTGAGTATGAATGTGTTTATAAATACACATTTTTCCCCTCACTGTGGTTGTCATTAGGTTAATACCAGCAGCTGAGGGGGCCTCCGGAATGTGGGAGGGTGGAGTGGGTGAAAGGTTCCTGACGGGAGTAGAGAGACCTGGATTCAGATCTTGATCATGTGGTTTGAAGCCAGTGTTTAGGCATCTTCCATATGCTCCTCTGGGAATGTGGGGGAAATGATATCTATTTTACAGTTATCATGTAGATTTAAGGAGATAGTATGCAGAAAAGCATCATACAACAAATTAGATTCCTTCCTATACATTTATCTCAGAGGAGTTAACCACATATAGGACCGTGAAAAATCTATAAAAGAGTTACAACAAGGCAAAGCTTGAGCTAAAATGTGGAGGAATTAGTGAATTTCCCTGTGCACATAATTCACATGAGATAGCAAGATGTTTTCAAATATAGCCACCATACAATGACTGTTTTTTGTTTTTTCTGTGCAGTGACAAATGAGATCCTCTGTTGGGCTTTATGTCTAAAGCTTGAATTTCAAGCAATTTCCTCACTTAAGATCAGGAGTTCAAGACCAGCCTGGCCAACATGGTGAAACCCCATCTCTACTAAAAATATAAAATTATCCAGTCATGGTGGCGGGCACCTGTAATCCCAGCTACTTGGGAGGCTGAAGCAGGAGAATCGCTTGAGCCAGGAGGCGCAGGTTGCAGTGGGCTGAGATCATGCCACTGCACTTCAGCCTGGGCAACAGAGCAAGACTCCATCTCAAAAAAAAATCAGGTTTTCATCACATCAAAGATGCTAAAAAGAATAAGCATCACTTAATTTTCTCTTTGTTTCCATTTGATCAGCCATGGATTGTTACAGAACCTCACCAAGCAATTCCTGGATTTACCCCACTGTGATCCTCTGCATATTTGGTTTTTTCTCCATGATGAGACCCTCAGAACCATTCCTTATCCCATATTTATCTGAACCAGATAAAAACCTGTCCAGTGCAGAGGTAAGTTAACATACATACGTATCTTAATGTGGTTTTTTAAATTTTACAGGACTTGAACAAGGATATGGGGCTTCCCTCAACTTGAAATAAGATGAACACATTAAACTCAGTGAGCCCGATTTTCATAATATGTGTCACATAAAGAACTTTTCAAACTATTTCCTCCTCATACTTGCAGAAAATTGCAGTCAAAACACATTACATGTGTTAACAAATTTTTAACTCGCATATAGTGCTAACATTTGTGTTACTGATAGGAGCCTTTCAGGTCTCCATTGATTCTATTATACTAATCCTAAAACAGCATCACTGGCAGGCACAGGATCTAAATCTAAATAAACTCTCAGGCTGCTGAGGGATAAGCAGGAGCTAAAGAATTGTGGTATTTCTTTATGACACTGTTTACCAGCAGGTGAGCCATTAACAGCTTTATCTCCCAGCCCTTGCCTCCTTCTCTGAAATGCCAGATTCTCTTACTTAAAAGAGCAACGTCTTTTTTGTTGTTGTTTGACATGGAGTCTCACTCTGTCATGCAGGCTGGAGTGCAGTGGTGTGATTTTGGCTCACTGCAACCTATGCCTCCCAGGTTCAAACAATTCTCCTGCCTCAGCCTCCTGAGTAGCTGGGACTACAGGCATGAGCCACCACGCCTGGCTAATTTTTGTATTTTTAGTAGAGACAGGGTTTCACCATGTTGGCCAGGCTGGTCTCGAACTCCTGACATCGTGATTCACCTGCCTCAGCCTCCCAAAATGCTGGGATTACAGGCTTGAGCCACTACGCCCAGCCTGGATTCTTTTAACATTATAGTCTACTTGTCTGCTGATTTTACAATCTCCAGCCTCAGCCTTGAAAACACTATGTAAAGTGTGTGGCGTCACCTGCAAGGCTAATTGGTGCCTCGGGTGGTGAGGTGGCAAGGACAGAAAGGCAAACTTGTTCTGTAGTATCAGATCACTTAGGGACAACCGTGTTTCCGAGTTGCTCAGGTTGAAGCATGCCACAATGAAGACAACAAAGGACAGATGCAGGGTCAGAAGCAACTCAATGAGTCCACTGGGGTCTGCTTCTGCAGCCACTATGGACCAGTTAATAGATCCTCCCTCCAAGGAGCAGCTCAGTTGTGTGGTCTTTGCTCTGTGGTCTCCTGCTTTCTCCAGCAACCTCAGTGATCCAGGTGTCAAGGTGGGTAAGTTCAGTGATTTGAGATGTTGCGGCACTCACCCATCATGCCCCACAGATCAGCAACTCCAGTCCTTCCTATTATGAAAATTGATATCCTATGCATTTCTGACTAAATCCGTGAGATGATCCATATTAAATTGAGGTACAGACAAATCAGCAGAATGGTTAGGGGGAGACGGGGGAAGGTTGGGAACCTAGTAAATTTGCCCAGGAAGGAAAATGAGATGCATTACTTGCTTCCACTCTATAATGTGGCAAAGTTATTTACTCTTTCCCTATCTTCCCATATCTTTCCAGATGTTGGAAGGACTGAAACATTTGACATAGTGATAGAGCACATGAAAATAAAGGCTGTTGGATTCTTTTTGTTGTTGTTGCTGAGATGGAGTCTTGCTCTGTTGCCCAGGCTGGAGTGCAGTGGCACGATCTCGGCTCTCTGCAACCTCTTCCTCCCAGGTTCAACCGATTCTCCTGCCTCAGCCTCCCGAGTAGCAGGGATTACAGGTGTCCGCCACCATGCCTGGCTAATTTTTGTATTTTTAGTAGAGACAGGGTTTCATCCTGTTGGCCAGGCTGGTCTCGAACTCCTGACATCGTGATTCACCTGCCTCAGCCTCCCAAAATGCTGGGATTACAGGCTTGAGCCACTACGCCCAGCCTGGATTCTTTTAACATTATAGTCTACTTGTCTAATGTTAGTATTTGAACAAGAAAGAAATGGTATTTTTTAAGAATCTTGGGCCGGGTGTGGTGGCTCACGCCCGTAATCCTAGCACTTTGGGAGGCTGAGGCAGGTGGATCACCTGAAGTCAGGACTTTAAGACCAACCTGATCAACATGGTGAAACCCCGTTTCTTCTAAAATACAAAAATTAGCCGGGCATGATGGCGGGTGCCTGTAATCCCAGCTACTCGGGAGGCTGAAACAGGAGAATGGCCTGAACCCGGGAGACGGTGGTTGCAGTGAGCCAAGATCGGGCCACTGCACTCCAGCCTGGGTGGCTGAGCAAGACTCCATCTCAAAAAAAAAAAAAAAGAATCTGAAAAACGTAGAAGTGTCCAAACGCTTTTTAACTCATCTACTCAACTGTACATACTATTTAAACTTAATATATAATTCAGATTGCACAATAAGCCAATATATTCTTCTACCGGGCTTTATCTAAGTGTATAAGTTGGTTGGTTTTTACCAATGGGAGAGGAGACTACCTTTTCTTAGTGATTTCCTTGAAAATGAGTTTTCTCATTATGTTTCTCTGTAACGCGAATAATTTCCAATTGGATGCAGAATTTGAGATACAAACCACAGGTACCTTAGTAAAGTACCAGTGCTTCACGGTCATGTATTGTACTAACTTTGCAGATAACAAATGAGATATTCCCTGTTTGGACATACTCCTACCTGGTGCTGCTGCTGCCTGTGTTTGTCCTCACCGATTACGTCCGCTACAAGCCAGTCATCATCTTGCAAGGTATCAGTTTCATCATTACCTGGCTGCTGCTCTTGTTTGGCCAAGGAGTGAAGACCATGCAGGTTGTAGAGTTCTTCTACGGGATGGTGACCGCCACCGAGGTGGCCTACTACGCCTACATATACAGCGTGGTCAGCCCCGAACACTACCAGAGAGTGAGTGGCTACTGCAGGAGCGTCACGCTGGTCGCCTACACAGCAGGGTCCGTGCTGGCCCAACTCTTGGTATCCCTGGCGAACCTGTCATACTTTTACCTCAACGTCATATCCTTGGCCTCTGTCTCCATAGCCTTCCTTTTCTCACTTTTCCTACCAATGCCCAAGAAAAGCATGTTTTTTCATGCAAAACCCAGCAGAGAAATAAAGAAGTCATCGAGTGTGAATCCAGTATTAGAGGAAACTCACGAAGGTGAAGCGCCAGACTGTGAAAAGCAGAAACCCACATCAGAAATACCCAGCACTTCAGGGAAGCTGAACAGCCTGAAACCCAGGAATGTGACTGTGGAAGTTTTTGTGCAGTGGTTCCAAGATCTGAAGGAGTGCTACTCCTCAAAACGTCTTTTCTACTGGTCTCTCTGGTGGGCTTTTGCCACAGCAGGTTTTAACCAGATTTTGAACTATGTTCAAATCCTGTGGGATTACAAGGCACCTTCCCAAGATTCTTCCATCTATAATGGGGCTGTAGAAGCTACTGCAACCTTTGGAGGTAAGCAAATGTCACTTAATCTTCCTTTGTTGGCTTTTCCCCCTTAAGACCGTTTCTCCAGGTACCGAACTTCATGGTACGAAGTAGCTCTGTTCAGAAGGCAGCATAATTTTTTTTCAGTCAAGAATGAAAGTCACTGGAAAAACAAGAATACCATAATTTTCTACTGTATTGTAGTTCCAACAAGTAACTCTTTTTTTTTTTTTTTTTTTTTTCTGAGATGGAGTTTTGCTCTTGTCACCCAGGCTGGAGTGCAGTAGCAGCATCTCAGCTCACTGCAACCTCCACCTCCCAGGTTCAAGCTATTCTCCTGCCTCAGCCTCCCAAGTAGCTGGGACTACAGGCGTGTGCCACCACGCCCAGCTAAGTTTTTCTGTATTTTTAGTAGATACGGGGTTTCACCATGTTGCCCAGGATGGTCTCGATCTCTTGACCTCATGATCTGCCCGCCTCAGCCTCCCAAAGTGCTGGGATTACAGGCATGAGCCACTGCACCCAGCCACAACAAGTAACTCTTAGGAGCTCAGGGCTTAGCACCAAACAATGAAATTCTAGTTGAATCCCTAAGATTCCAATTCATCATTAGCACAAAGGTTAATAACATGCCCTGTTCTTTTAGGATTATTTTTAATATCAAAATATATACATATATGTGTGTATGTTTTTATTATTTTAGAAAATAAATTAAGGATTCCAAATTCTCACTGAGGGTTTCATTAATACAGGCTTTGAACTAAGTAGCATGCACCTAAAACAGTTCTAGGCTATACACCAACAACTTTCAAAAGCAGCTTTCTCATGATATTTAAATGAGGGGTGAAAGAGATGTGAAAGTCAGGATTTTAATATCAGAGGGAAATCTGTCTTTGAAGTTTAATCTACAATAAATGTTTATTTCCTAATAACTGGAAGCTTAAATGTCAAATGAGACTTTGAAGGTATTTTTTAGGAAGTGAGATTTTGCCCCACCCTCATTTACAAAAGGTTTTAGAAAACTCATGTGACCTCTATTTTATTATTATCTCCCTTTTGGGAAGCTTCAAGTTTAACTCCTGGAAACTAGGACTGTGCCAGAATTGCTTCACTGAAATTGTTGCTCCTACATTCCAAATCCATGGGGGGAAAATAATTATTTTTTTTTCCTCTGTAGTCATGATCATATGTGGGAAAGTTAGTCATATGTCTGTGTAGTACTTTGAAATCTAAATACCTTTTGTTTATTTATTTATTTTAGACAGAGTCTTACTCTGTTACCCAGACCGGACTGCAGTGGCATGATTTCAGCTCATTGCAACCTCTGCCTCCCGGGTTCAAGCGATTCTCCTGCCTCAGCCTCCTGAGTAGCTGGGATTGCAGGCACCCGCCACCATGCTGGCTAATGATTGTATTTTTAGTAGAGACGGGGTTTCACCATGTTGGCCAGGCTGGTCTCTAACTCCTGACCTCAAGTGATCCACGCCCTTCGGCCTCCCAAAGTGCTGGGATTACAGGAGTGTGCCACTGTCCCCAGCCCTAAATACCTTTTACTTTTGTTGAAGAGAACCATACACAAGTACTAACCCTTATTACTGTCAATTATTCAATTTCTTGAACTCTGTCAGTCTATACCGATGTTTTCACCCAAAGCTTCTCAAGTAAATTATGTCAGATGTTGAAGACTTTAGAGTGGAGATTGGAAATAAGACTAAGATTACTGAAGATTCATAATAAAGACTAACACGGGGTGGGGCAAGAAAAAAGACTAAAGCTATCCATGTAACACATCTGATACTCATCACTGAAAAAGACTTACAGCAAAAACGGAGAAAAGAAAGGCAAATAGAGAGGCCACATGTGTTCCCAGAGAATTGATTTCATCCTTTTCCATCCCTGCACGTTGTGTTGAGTGACTAGGTTAACGTATCATTTCTCCTTACACTGCCGTGGTTAGGAACCTTTCTGGCCCCTCTGGAGAGTACAGTGCCTGGTGTATAGTTGATACTAATTAAAAGTGTGATGACTAAGTGACCGAAAGAATAGCAAGTGAAAAGAAAAGCCAGAAGAAGACGTGGTTGAGAAAAGGATAGATCCACATTCAGGTCGATCACACAATTTTGTGAGAGCAATATATTTATCTTTCAGAATTACCCGAGACCTGGGTTTTTAAGAGAGGGCGTTGATGTTTTCTTGCATGCAAAGTCATTGTGTTTGATTGCCTTCAATGTTTTGTTTTCAGGGGCTGTGGCTGCCTTTGCAGTGGGTTACGTGAAAGTCAACTGGGACCTTCTGGGAGAGCTGGCTCTGGCGGTCTTCTCAGTTGTCAATGCAGGTTCTCTATTTCTCATGCATTACACAGCCAACATCTGGGCGTGCTATGCTGGCTATTTGATATTCAAGTCCAGCTATATGCTTCTTATAACCATAGCAGTGTAAGTTTTACCAACCACTCCTAAAACTGAACTGTATTATTCTCTCTTCTGTCTTCCTAAGCTTTCTCTAAGAACTTCAGAAGGATTTTAGTCAATTGCAACATTAAATGTTGACTACTTTATATTAAATTAGACACAACTAAGCCAACTTTTCGTTTAACTATTTGCTCTCTGAATATTGCTACAATATACCTTTAGTCATCAAGGGAAAAAACTCTGTAGGTTTATAAACCAAAAGCAATGATACATTGTCAGGTTTTTCTTTTTGTTTTGTTTGGTTTGAGAGATGGTCTGGCTCTCTTGCCCAGGCTGGAGTGTAGTGGTGTGGTCACGATCACGGCTCAATGCAGCCTTGACTTCCCAGGCTCAGGTGAGTCTCCAACCTCCACCTCCTGAGCAGTTGGGACGACAGGCATGTGCCACCATACCTAGCTAATTTTTCACATTTTGTAAAGATGGGGTTTCACCATGTTGCTCAGGCTGGTCTCAAACTCCTGGGCTCAAGCGATCCACCTACCTTGGCCTCCCAAAGTGCTGGAATTACAGATGCGAGCCACTACATCTAGCAACATTGTCAGGTTTTGATTTGTTTATTTCCAGCAACTTTCCACATAAGGTGTGATGTGATCTGCTTTTAAATGGTTAGGTTTAGATTTCATTCCTACTTTCATTTGGTTGCTGGAGAAATTCTAGGCACATACTTTTGTGACACAAAAGATTCTCAGGAAAGTTATTAAAAAGTTGGAGACTAAAAAAAGTAGATGCAAAGATAACAAGAAACCTTTAGCTGTAGTCATATATGGAACCAAGTAGTTTTTCTTTTCTTTCTTTCTTTTTGAGACAGGGTCTCACCTGGGCAGGAGTGCAGTAGTGCAAACATAGCACACCACAACCTTGATCCCCTGGGCTCAAGCAGTCCCCCCAACTCAGCCTCCTGAGTAACTGAAACCACTGGTGCATACTACCATGCCTGGCTAAATTTTTAATGTTCATTTTTGTAAAGACAGAGTGTCGCTATGTTCCCCAGGCTGGTCTCGAACCCCCGGGCTCAAGTAATCCTCTGGCCTCAGCTTCCCAAAATGGTAGGATTACAGGTATGACCCACCTTGCCAGGTCTAGTTCTTAATCATTTTCTAAAAATGATTTCTGGGATTTAGGGTTTCCTATCATTTTTGCTTCTCAGAGATCTCTTTAAGAAAGAGATCTTTAAGAAAGAGATCTCAGCTCTTTAAGAAAGAGATCTTTCTTTAAGATCTTTAAGAGATCTCTTTGTTTCTCAGAGATCTCTTTAAGAAAATGATTAAAAAACCATTTGGTTTCATATAAAAGTACAGCTAAAGCTGACTGCAGAAAATATGCTTTGCTATTAACCAAAAGAGATGAGAAACATTTGAATTTCAAATTGCATGAAAGAAGTGGAGACAACAGCTTCATCGAGTTTTGGTTTTAATTTGTGAAAAAAGTGTTTTATAAACAATTTACCACACAGAAATATGAGCACTCCGGGGAAAAAATCATCAAAGGAAAAAAAAATTAGTTGGTATGTTTATTTTCTTCATGGAAATGTCTTAGTTTAATCAGAATCATGCATCTTAGGTTGCTTTTTTTTTTAATGTGAGGATTTTGTTAAATGATAAAGGATTATATCATTTCTTTGCATTAAAAAAGAAATATTCATGGCTGGGCACAGTGGCTCACATCTGTAATCCCAGCACTTTGGGAGGCCAAAGCAGGTGGATCATCTGAGGTGAGGAGTTCAAGACCAACCTGGCCAATATGGTTAAACCCCGTATCTACTAAAAATACAAAAATTAGCTGGGCATGGTGGTGAGCACCTGTAATCCCTGCTACTGGGGAGGCTGAGGCAGAAGAATCACTTGAACCTGGGAGGCGGAGGTTGCACATTCTCATCAGCATTTATTGCTTGTCTTTTGGATAATTCTAATTGAAGTGAGATAATATCTCATTGTAGTTTTGATTTCCATTTCTCTGATCAATGATGTCGAGCACCTTTTCATGTATCTGTTTGCCATTTGCATGTCTTTAAAGAAACGTCTATTCAGATTTTTGCCCATTTTTCATCTGATTATTAGACTTTTTTTCCCTATAGAGTTGTTTGAACTCCTTCTATAGTCTGGTTTTTAACCCCTTGTCTCGTGGGTAGTTTGCAGATTTGTTTTTCCATTCTGTGGATTGCCTCTTTCCTTGGCTGTGCAGGAGCTTTTTAACTTGATGTGATCCCATTTGTCCATTTTTGCTTTGGTTGCCTGCATTTGTGGGGTACTCAAGAAATATTTGCCCACTCCAATGTCCCAGAGAATTTCCCCAATGTTTTCTTGTAGTTGTTTCATAATTTGTTTTCTTGTAGTTGTTTCATAATTTGAGGTCTTAGATTTAAGTCATTAATCCATTTGGACTTGATTTTGTATATGGTGAGAAATAGGGGTCTACTTTCATTCATTCTTCTGCATATGGATATTCAGTTTTCCCAGCACCATTTACTGAAGAGACTGTCTTTTCCCCAATGTATGTTCCTGGCATCTTTGTTGAAAATGAGTTTACTGTAGATGTGTGGGTTCACTACTGGGTTTCTGGGTTCACTCTTCTGTTCCATTGGTCTACATGTCTGCTTTTATGTCAGAACTATGCTGTTTTGGTTACTATAGCTCTATAGTATAATTCAAAGTCAGGTAATGTGATTCCTCCAGTTTTTTTTTGTTGTTGTTGTTTCATTTTGTTTTGTTTTGCTTAGGATAGCTTTGACTATTCTGGGTCTTCTGTGGTTTCACATAAATTTTAGAATTGTTTTTTCTATTTCTGTGAAGAATATCCTTGGCATTTTTATAGGGATTGCATTGAATCTGTAGATTGCTTTGGATGGTATGGGCATTTTAACAATACTGATTCCTCCAGTCCACAAATATGGAATATCATTCCATTTTGTGTGTGTGTGTCCTCTTCAATTTCTTGTATCAGTGTTTTATAGTTTTCATTGCAAAGATCTTTCACTTCTTTAGTTAATTCTTAGGTATTTTATTTTATCTGTAGCTATTGTAAATAGGATTACATTTTTGATTTCTTTTTCAGATTGTTCTCTGTTTGCATATAGAAATGTTATGGAGTTTTGTATGTTGATTTTATGTCCTGCAAATATACTGAACTTATTTATCAGCTCTAATAGTTTATTGGTAAGAGTCTAAGTTTTCCTAAATGTAAGATCATATCGTCTGCAAGCAAGGATAATTTGACTTGATCCTTTCCAATGTGGATGCCCTTTATTTCTTTCTCTTGTCTGATTGTTCTAGATAGGACTTCCAGTGCTATGTTGAATAGTGGTGGTAAAAGTATGCATCCTTGTCAGTTTTCTCCCATTCAGTCTGATACTAGCTGTATGTCTGTCATATATAGCTTTTATTATATGGAGTATGTTCCTTCTATACCCAGTTTTTTAAGGGTGTTTATCAAGAAAGGATGTTGAATTGTATCACATGCTTTATTTAGCATCAATTGAATGATCATAGTTTTTGTCCTTCATTCTGTTGATGTGACTTATCACATTGATTGATTTGCATATGTTAAATGATCCTTGCATCCCTGGGATAAATCCCACTTAGTCATGATAGATTATCTTTCTCATGTATTGTTGAATTCAGTTTGCTAGTATTTTGTTGAGAATTTTTGCATTGATATTCATCAGAGATTGGCCTGTAGTTGTTTTTTGTTTTTAATGTGCCTTTGTCTGGTTTTGCTGTTAGGGTAATACTGGCCTGGTAGAATGAGTTTGGAAGTGTTCCCTCCTCTGTTTTTTAGAATAATTTGGATAGGATTGGAATTAGTTCTTTTATAGAATTCAGAAGTGAAGCCATTGGGTCCTGGGCTTTCCTTTAGTGGGAGGCTTTTTATTACGTCTTCAATCTCATTACTTGTTATTGGTCTGCTCAGGTTTTGGATTTCTCCATGGTTCAATCTGCGTAGGTTGTTTGTATCTAGGAATTTATCCATTTCTTCTAGATTTTCCAATTTATTGGCATATACTTGATCACAGTAGCCACTGATGATTCTTTGAATTTCTGCAATATTGGTTTTAATGTCTCCTTTTACATCTCTAGTTTTATTTACTTGGGCCTTCTCTCTTTTTCTTAGTCTGGCTAAAGGTTTGTCAATTTTATCTTTTCTAAAATCCAACTTTTTGTTTCATTGACCTTTTGTATTGTTTTCTTCATTTCAATTTCATTTCTTTCTGCTCTGATGTTTATTATTTCTTTTCTTCTAGATTTTGGGTTCATTTTGCTCTTGCTTTTCTAGTTAAGATACATCATTAGGTTATTTATTTGAGGTGTCTCTTCTTCTTTTTTTTTTTTTTTTTTTTTTAAGAGACAGGGTCTTACTGTGTTGCCCAGGCTGGAGTGCACTGGCATGATCATCTCTACTCACTGCAACCTCTGCCTCCTGGGCTCAAGTGATCCTCCTGCCTCAGACTCCTGAGAAGCTGGGACCACAAACGTGCACCACCACGCCTGGCTAATTTTTTGTATTTTTGGTAAAGACGGAGTTTCACTATATTGACCAGGCTGGTCTAGAACTCTGGAGCTCAAGTGATTCATCTGCCTCAGCCTTGCAGAATGCTAGAATTACACACATGGGCCACCACACTCGGCCTCTCTTCTTTTTTTATGTAGGCACTTGTAACTATAAACTTCCCTCTTAGTACTGTTTTCACTGTGTCCTATAGGTTTTGGCATGTTGTGTTTCCGTTATCATTTGTTTCAAGAAATTTTTCAATTTCTCTCAATTTCTCAATTTCTTCACTGACTCACTGGTCATTCGGGGCATATTGTTTAATTTCCATGTGTTTCTATAGTTTCCAAAATCCCTCTTGTTGATTTCTAGTTTTATTCTATTGTGGTCAGAGACAATGGTTGATATTAATTATTTCAAATTTTTGAATATGTTTTAAGAGTTGTTTTGTGACCTAACATGGTTTATCCTTGACAATGATCCATATGCTGAGAACAGTATGTATTCTGTGGCCAATGAAAAGTTCTGTAAATATCTATTAGGTCCATTTTTTCTATAGTACAGATTAAGTCTGATGTTTCTTTATTGATTTTCTATCTGGAAAATCTATCCAGTGCTGAAAGTGGGGTTTTAAAGTCTCTAGCTATTATTGTATTGCATTCTCTTATCTCTTTCTAGTTCTAATATTTGCTTTATATATGGGTGCTCCAGTGTTGGGTGCATATATATTTACAATTTTTATATCCTCTTGCTGAATTGACCCTTTTATCATTGTATAATGACCTTTGTCTCTAGTTTGTGTCTTGAAATCTATTCTCTCTGCTATAAATATAGCTACAAACCCTGTTTTTTTGTTTATTTCCATTGGCATGGCATACCTTTGTCCATCACTCCATTTTCAGTATATGTATGTCTTTATAGGTAAAATGTATTTCTTGTAGGCAACAGATCATTGGGTCTTTCTAAAAATCCATTCAACCACTCGCTTTTGAAGAGTTTAAACTGATACGTAAGGACTTACTCCTGTTATTTTGTTATTTCTTTTCTGGTTTTGTGGCCTTTTTCCTTTTCTTTCTTCCTTTTAGTGAAGGTGGTTTTCTCTGGTGATCTAATTTAATTTCTTTTTTACTTTTTGGGTATCCATTGTATGTTTTTCAATTTGAGATTACCATGAGGCTTGCAAATACTATCTTATAACCCATGATTTTAAGCTGGTAACAACTTAAGACTATTTGCATAAACAAACAAGCAAAAAGAAAACTAATAAAAACTCTACAGTATCACTTTGTCCTCCTGCTTTTTAACTTTTTGTTGTTTCTCTTTATATCTTATTGTACTGTCTTGAAAATTTGTAGTTACTATTTTTGATTGGTTCATCTTTTAGTCTTTCTACTTACAAGAGTAGTTTATACACCCGTTGCAGTGTGATAATATTCTGTGTTGTTCTATGTGCTTATTATCACAAGTGAGTTTTGTGCCTTTACATGTTTTCTTATTGCTCATGAACATCCTTTTCTTAGAGATGGAAGTACTCCCTTTAGCATTTCTTGTAGGACAGGTCTGGTGTTGATGAAATCCCTCAGCTTCTATTTGTTTGAGATGGTCTTTATTTCTCCTTCAGGTTTGATGTTTTCACTGGATATACCATTCTAGGGTAAAGGTTTTTCGCCTTCAGCACTTTAAATATGTCATGCCACTCCCTGGTTCTAAGTCTTTTCTAAGACTGAAAAGTGTGCTGCCAGACATGGGGCCTCTATTGTATGTTATTTATTTCCTTTCTCTTGCTCCTTTTAAAATCCTTTTTTTTTTTTTTTTTTGAGAAGGAGTCTCGCTCTGCAATCTCGGCTCACTGCAACCTCCACCTCCTGGGTTCAAGCGATTCTCCTGCCTCAGCCTCCTGAGTAGCTGAGATTACAGGCACACGCCACCACGCCTGGCTAATTTTTGTATTTTTAGTAGTGATGGGGTTTCACCATGTTGGCCAGGATGGTCTTGATCTCTTGACCTTGTGATCCACCTGCCTTGGCCTCCCAAAGTGCTAGAATTACAGGTGTGAGCCACAACGCCCAGCCTAGAATCCTTTCTTTATCCTTAACCTTTAGGAGTTTGATTATTAAATGCATTTAAGTAGTCTTCTTTGGGTTAAATTTGCTTGATGTTCTGTAACCTTGTCCTCAGATATTGATATCTTTCTCTAGTTTTGGGAAGTTCTCTGATATTATCCCTTTGAATTAACTTTCTACCTCATCTGTTTCTTTACCTCCTCTTTAAGGCCAATAACTTAGATTTTCCCTTTTGAGGCTATTTTCTAGATATTGTAGGTGTGCCTCATTCTTCTTTTTTCTGTTGTCTCCTGACTGTATTTTTAAATAGCTTGTCTTCAAGCTTGCTAATTATTTCTTCTGCTTGATCAGTTCTGCTGGTATGAGATTCTGATGCATTCTTCAGTATGTCAATTGCATTTTTCAACCCCAGCATTTCTGCTTGATTCTTTTTAATTATTTCAATCTCTTTATTCAGTTTATCTGACAGAATTCTCAATTCCTGGTTTGTGTTATCTTGAATTTCTTTGAGTTTTCTTAACACAGCTATTTTGAATTCTGTCTCTGAAAGGTCGTATATCAGTTTCTCCAGGATTGGTCCCTGGTGCCTTATTTAGTTTGTTTACTGAGAACATGTTTTCCTGGATGATCTTGATGCTTATGGATGTCCATCAGCGTCAGGGTATTGAAGAGTTGTATTTATTGTAGTCTTTGCTCTCTGGGCTTTTTTGTACCTGTCCTCCTTGGGAAGGCTTTCTAGGTATTCAGAAGGTTTTGGGTGTTATGATCTAAACTTTATCTGCATTAGGGAGCACCCCAAGCCCAGTAACACTGTGGTTCTAGCAGACTCTTAGAGGTACTGCTTTGGTGATCTTGGATAAGATCCAGAAGAATTTTCTGGATTACCAGACAGAGACGCTTGTTATTTTCCCTCACTTTCTCCTAGACAGTCTCTCTCTTTCTCTTTGCTGGACTACCTGGAGCTGGAGGTGGGTGACACAGGTACCCCTGTGGGCACTAATTTCTATCTTTTGAAGACTTCCACCCATGTTATGGTTAAAATGCTTATTTATGTTTAATGATAGATTTCAGATTGCAGTTAATCTGAGTGTGGAACGCTATGCCCTGGTATTTGGAATCAACACCTTTATTGCCTTGGTGATTCAGACCATCATAACTGTGATTGTAGTAGATCAGAGAGGGCTCAACTTGCCAATCAGCATTCAGGTAAGCCGCAATACTTCTGTTTTCAACTAGGTAACCTCAAAGGTTTCTCAACCTTGCAACAAGCAATATTTAAATTTCTTGAGTTCCTTGGTTAAGCAAATTTTAAAATATACAACTCCTTAATTATCATACTGTAACACACCAAGTACGTTTTGAGCAATAATTGCAACTAGGACAACATTTACCTGGAAAATGCAGGTAAGAAGTAACCTCAGTGCTTAAATTTATTCTTGGAGACATTGAGTGTAACATTGCACCAGCCTCCAAACAAAGAAATAGAGACAAATCAATGAGTGTTAGTGTATTTTTGTTTTGTTTTGTTTTTTACTATTGATGATAGTAGCTGTGATTTTAACCCAAGCAACCTGCTCTGAAGCCAAGACTCTTAGTCACTGTATTGCTTACATCTTCTTACTTGATCTTGATTTCTTACTTGATCTTGATTTCTTACTTGATCTTGATTTCTTACTTGATAGGAGAGTATTGTTCAACCTAAATGACCCACATTAAAAACCTGGGTCTCAGTTACCCCATAATCCAAGCAAACCAACAGTATTATGTTGTATTATCATTGATGTAGATGGTCATATTTTATATGTGGCTAATTATTTGTTTTTCTCCAGTTTTTAGTTTATGGGAGCTATTTTGCAGTAATTGCTGGAATTTTCCTAATGAGAAGCATGTATATTATCTATTCAACCAAATCCCAGAAGGATGTACAGAGCCCTGCTCCAAGTGAGAATCCAGATATGTCTCACCCAGAGGAAGAGAGTGATGTCATCACATCAACAAAACTCTAACCTCATTGCAACAACTGCAGCAGTGGCTTTTAAAGCTATGCAATAATAAGGAAGGATTTTGAGATGGGTGGCATATGTTTTGCCATAACTTGACATGCTTTTTGCAAATCGGGATTCCAATGGACCTTTCAAAACCACAACGAAACCTCAGCTTTAGACGAGTTCTCTATCTGCCCAATTTTACTGGATGCAATTGACAGAACCCATCGTCGTAATTAAACAACCCATATTGGGGACCCCCGTGACCAGTAGCAGCTGGAAAATTCTGGTTTTTCTCACTTGTACGGACATGCAGATGGTGTGGAACCAAACCATGAGAAAACTCCAGCTATCCTGGAGTTGGTATTCACCATTTGTGGGGAGAAACACTAACTGGACGGACCCTATTGCTTGGCTTAAATACTTGTTTGATCTTACCAAAGAAGTCAATGCATGGGACCTTTTTGTCACACGAGCCATTTCCTTTCTTCTTCTAATAAGTGTATTTCTGTTTAAGTTACAGTTCTCCAAGAGAATTACAAGGTTTATCCCATTTCTAAGGGCTTGTCTTCAACTCTGATAACAGCATTATTCACAAGTTATGATTTGATAGTATTATTTAATTTTTTATGATTATTTTCCATGTTGTGCTCTGAGTTTTGCTGTTGAAAGTCTACCTCAAGAATAGCTCCAGACCCTCTTGTGTATTTGCAGAATGACACTCAGGTCATTTCCCAGTGGCCTGGGAGAGGCAGGGAGCCTTCTCTCCACCACCATATAGAGGTGTTAATGCATCTGTGAGCCAGGTGCAGTGGCTCACTCCTGTAATCCCAGCAATTTGGGAGGCCAAGGTGGGAGTTTTGCTTGAGGCCAGAGGTTCAAGACCAGCCTGGGCAACACAGTGAGACCTGACTCTACTAAAAAATTTAAAAATTAGCTGGGCAGCATGGTGTGTGCCTGTAGTCTCAGCTACTTGGGAGGTCATGGGGGGAGGATGGGTTGAGCACAGGAGTCAGAGGCCACAGTGAGCTATAATTGCACCACTGCACTCCAGCCTGGGCAACAGAGTAAGACTCTCATCCCCCTCTCCCAAAAAACAGCACCTGTGTGATGTCTGTCTAAAATAGGAACACTTAAGGAGGTTTCTAGAAGTATTAGAAATAAGAAAACACTGATGGAGGGAGTGGAATGAAACACCTGTTTTTTGTTTGTTTGTTTGTTTGTTTGTTTTGAGACAGAGTCTCGCTCTCTCACCCAGCCTGGAATGCAGTGGCGTGATCTTGGCTCACTGCAAACTCCGCCTCCTGGGTTCAAGCCATTCTCCTGCCTCAGGCTCCTGAATAGGTGGGACTATGGGTGCGCATCACCATGCCTGGTTAATTTTTATATTTTCAGTAGAGATGGGGTTTCACCATATTGGCCAGGCTGGTCTCAAATTCTTGACTTCAGGTGATCTGCCTGCCTTGGCCTCCCAAAGAGCTGAGATTACAGATGTGAACCATCATGCCGACCAAAACACCTAATTTTTAAATGGCAGCAATTGTGCTACATAAAATGTGTCAACATTTTAAAGAGTTTTTAACATTTTTTTTGATGAATTCTGCTGAAAATTATCTGAACATACCTGTTTTTCGAAACTTCAAGAAGGGATGCATTGAGCAGTCTGACAGTGAGAATAAAGAATGCTGAGTCAAGATTTATATCAGGGCTGGCAGCTGTGGCTCACACCTGTCATCCCAGCAATTTGGGAGGCTGAGGTGAGAGGATAATTTGAGGGTCGGAGTATGAGACCATCTTGGCCAACATAGCAAGACCCTGTCTCTAAAACAAATCAAAAAAATCTTTAATTGCATTTTGATATGGTTTGGATCTGTGTCCCCACCAAATCTCATGTTGAAGTGTAATCCCCAGTGTTAGAGGTGGGGCCAGCTGGCAGGTGACTGGATCATGGGAGTGAATCCTTCATGAATGGTTTAGCACCATCCCCTCAGTGCTGTTCTCATGACAGCGAGTTATCGCAAGATCTGGTTGTTTAAAAGTGGGTAGCACCTCCTCGCTCTCTCTTTCTCCTGCTTTGGCCATGTGAAGATGCCTGCTCCCACTTTGCCTTCTGCCATGAGTAAAAGCTCCCTGAGGACTCCCAGAAGCAGATGCTGCCATGCTTCCTATATAGCCTGTGAGCCAATTAAACGCCTTTTCTTACAAATTACCTAGCCTCAGGTGTTTCTTCATAGCAATGTGATAATGAACTAATATGTTTCTCAACTATACTTCTCTCCAAATCCCCAAATTCATTCACTGGACTAAGATCCAGCCCAAGAACCAATGCACTCACTTAGTGGAGAAAACGAGTAACATTCCTACTTACATTGAAGGCAAGGAAGGAATGGCTGCTATTCTTCTTTTTTTTGATAGAATCTTGCTCTGTCACCCAGGCTGGGGTGCAGTGATACAATCTCAGCTCACTGCAACCTCTGCCTCCTGGGTTCAAGCAATTCTCCTGCCTTAGCCTCCTGAGTAGCTGGGATTATAGGCGCCCGCCACCCTGCCCAGCTAATTTTTGTATGTTTAGTAGAGACAGGGTTTCACCATGTTGGTCAGGCTGGTCTCGAACTCCTGGTCTCAGGTCATCCGCCTGTCTCAGCCTCCCAAAGTGTTGGGATTACAGGCGTGAACCACCTCGCACTCAGTCCATTATCCTTCTTTTTTAACGTATTATACTGGAGGTGTTAGGCATCACAATTCGACAAACAAGAAAAATCAGAAGTCAAAAATTGGAAAGGAGGCCAGGTGCAGTGGCTCACGCCTGTAATCCCAACACTTTGGGAGGCTGAGGCGGACAGATCACATGAGGCCAGGAATTGTAGGCAAGCCTGGGAAACATGGTGAAACCCCGTATGTACTAAAACCAACAAAATTAGCCGAGTGTGGTGCATGCCTGTAATCCCAGTCACTCGGTGGCGAAGCATAAGAATCACTTAACCCGGGAGGCAGACGTTGCAGTGAGTTGAGATTGTGCCACTGCACTCCAGCCTGAGCGACAGAGTGAGACCCAAAGGGGACCAAAAAATGCATTATGATTCATTCACATATTCACCTATAACAAAATTAACTGCTAAAAAATGAGGAAGATCTTTAGTGACACAGAACTCTAAGAGCTCTATTATCAAGTGGAAAAAAAGTCAAGCACCAAAGTAATAATGAATGCAGCAACTCAGCATTTGTACAAAAAGGAGAAAAACATCTGTATTGGCTTACATATGCATATAACTTTTCTAAAAAGACAAATGATGCCAGGCACGGTGGCTCATGCCTGTAATCCTAGCACTTTGGGAGGCTGAGGCAGGTGGATTGCTTGAGTTCAGGTATTCGAGACCAGTCTGGGCAACATGGTAAAACCCTGTCTCTACAAAAAATACAAAAATTAGCTGGGCATGGTGGCTTGCATCTGTACTCCCAGCTACTTGAGGAGGATGAGAAAGGAGGATCGCTTGAGCCTGGAGGTGGAGGTTGCAGTGAGTTGAGATCGCGCCACTGCACTCCAGCCTGGGTGACAGAGTGAGACCCTGTCTAGAACAAACGAACCAACAATCAAACAAATAAATCAATAAACAAATGAAACTCATACCAATGATTGTCCACTGTGGAGTAATGGGAAATGGGAGGGAGACATCACATTCTCTGGCATCTGATGCTTGCACCAAATGAATAACCCACCAGTAAATTAAAATACTACTTTTACAAAAAAGCATTTAACCTCTTGGGAAATAAATCTGCATTGAAGAATAAGGAGCTGGAGATTTGCTATGCAACCATTATAGTGGTTTTATATTTTTGGTAATGTGAATGAATTACTGAATGTGCATTTATAATGAAAAGGAACAAACAACAGAAGAAAAAAATAAGTAGGCCTGGTCAGGCACCATGGCTTATGCCTGAAATCCCAGCACTTTGGGAGGCTAAGGTGGGAGGATCGCTTGAGCTCAGGAGTTCAAGACCACCCTGGGCAACATAGTGAGACTCTGTCTCAAAAAAATTAATAATAATAATTAGACCTGATACTGAAAAATTAAATTAAAATTTTTTATTTGGTATCTCATTAATGAAAAAAAATTTTTTAAATAACGACCCCTCATATAAGCACCAGTCACTTTGGGGTGTCATTTGATGATCAATCCCAACTGTGATTCCTCAGTCAGGAAAGAGCCTCATAGGCATATGAAACTGGTTCAAAGTCAAGCACGCAGGAAATAGTGAAGGTGCAATTTGAATTCAAGTATGTCTGACCACTGTGGTCTTTCTATGATACCATCCTGCTCTATACTCAACACAGGAGAGTATTGTATCCACTCATGAAAGATAAAATCCAGAGCGGGGTCCCTATTTCCCCGGTCCATGGACTGGTACTGGTCGGTGGCCTGGTAGGAACTGGGCCGCACAGCAGGAGGTGAGCGGCAGGTGAGTGAGCAAAGCTTCATCTGTATTTACAGCTGCTCCCCATCGCTCACATTACCACTTGAGCTCTGCCTCCTGTCAGATCAGCGGAGGCATTAGATTCTCATAGGAGTGGGAACGCTGCTGTGAGCAGTGCATGCTGGAGATCTAGGTTGCATGCTCCTTATGAGAATCTAATATCTGATGTCTGTCACTGTCTCCTATCACTCCCAGATGGTACCATTTAGTTGCAGGAAAACAAGCTCAGGGCTCCCACCAGTTCTACATTATGCTGAGTTGCATAATTATTTCATTATGTATTACAATGAAATAGTAATAGAAATACAGTGCCCAAGGCCAGGCACAGTGGCTTACACCCGTAATCTCAGCACTTTGGGAGGCCGAGGCAGACAGATCACTTGAGGTCAGGAGTTCGAGACCAGCCTGCCCAACATGGTGAAACACCATCTCTACTAAAAATACAAAAATTAGCCTAGCATGGTGGCGGGCACCTGTAATCCCAGCTACTCGGGAGGCTGAGGTAGGAGAATTGCTTGAACCTGGGAGGCAGAGGTTGCAGTGAGCCAAGATCGTGCCACTGCACTCCAGCCGGGGTGACAGAGTGAGACTCTGTTTAAAAAAAAAAGAAAAAAGAAAAGAAATACAGTGCACATTAAATGCAATGTGCTTGAATCATCCTGAAACCATCCCCTCTACCCAGTCTGTGGAAAAACTGTCCTCCACAAAACCAGTCCCTGGTGCCAAAAAGTTTGGGGACCACTAACCAGCAAAATGTCAACTTATAGGATTGCAGGGAAATTAAGTGTTGTGAATTTTAAAGTATATTTTAGAATAACTCAGGAGTAGCTAGAAAACATTTTGATCTAAAGAATTTTTATATTTCAAAAGTTTCTTACATAACTGCCCTTTACTGGGCACCATAAAATCAGTGACGGTTGGCGAGGTGTGGTGGCTCATGCCTGCAATCCCAGCACTTTGAGAGGCGAAGGCAGTAGGGTTGCTTGAGGCCAGGAGGTCAAGACCAGCTTGGACAACATAGTGAGACCAGGTCTCTACAAAACCTTTTTAAAAATTTTGCTGGGTGTGAGTCTGTAGTCTTGACTACTCAGGAGGCTGAGGCAGGAGGACCATTTGAGCCCAGGAGTTTGAGGCTGCAGTGACATATGATTTTGCCACTGCTCTTCAGCCTGGGTGACAGAGACCCCATATTCTAAAGAAAAAATAATCAGTGAATTTAAAGTAAAAAGGATGGCATGGTCCCTCTTTTAAGGACTAGCAGACTAGCAGTAAGATAAATAGCATCAGTAGCCAAACACATGCTCTTCCAGAGAGAGGTTAAGGCCAAAAGAGCAGATTCCCAGATGCATGCTAGGAGGGCCGATCCACTCCACCTGCTCAGGGCAAGGAACTCATGACAGAAAGAAACTACTGATCACTGAGCTGAGTCCTGAGTGTGAGCTGTTGAGAACTTTCAGAACATTTAAGATTATCTGCGTACTTGTATTTTTTCAGATGCAGTAGGTTTTATACATTGTTCCAATGTGATTTATAACTCTGAACAGCAACCCTTCCCTTTTAGTATTTAAATTATAAATAGGGATGGTTTTTACTTTATTATTTTTTTTAAGGATGTGATGCTTGGCTCTGTGTCCCCACTCAAATCTCACCTTGAATTGTAATCCCCATAATTCCCACGTGTCAAGGGCAGGACCAGGTGGAAGTTACTGAATCATGGCGGTGATTTCCCCCATGCTATTCTCATGGAAGTGATTGAGTTCTCATGAGATCTGATGGTTTTATAAGCATATGGCATTTCCACTGCCTGCAGTCACTCTGTCCTGCTGTCTTGTGAAGAAGATGCTTAGCCTTCTGCCGTGATTGTAAGTTTCCTGAGGCCTCCCAAGCCATGCTGAACTGTGAGTCGATTAAACCTCTTTCCTTTATAAATTACCCAGTCTCAAGTATTTCTTCATAGCAGTGTGAGAACAGACCAATACAGGTTGGTTTTTAAATGGAGATATATTTTGAACCTAAGGAAAAAAGTTAATTTTCAATTATTTCTTTCTCGATATGGCCTTTTGTGGTTGCTATGCTTCTTTTCTAAAGATAAAACAATGATTATCTGCATACAAAACTATTCCAAGTAAGAGACATGGCCGGGCGCAGTAGCTAATGCCTGTAATCCTAGCACTTTGGGTATCCTAGCACTTTGGGAAAGTGGGTGGATCACCTGAACTTGGGAGTTCGAGACCAAGCTAACCAACATGGAGAAACCCCGTCTCTACTAAAACTACAAAATTAAACAGGTGTGGTTGTGCATAGCTGTAATCGGGAGACTGAGGCAGGAGAATCGCTTGAACTCAAGAGGCAGAGGCTACAGTGAGCCGAGATCGTGCCATTGCACTCCAGCCTGGGTGACAGAGTGAGACTCCATCTCAAAAAAACAAACAAAAAAACATAATCCTATGGCCAGGCACGGTGGCTCATGCCTGTAATCTCAGCACATTGGGAGGCCAAGACGGGTGAATCACAAGGTCAGGAGTTCGACACCAGTCTGGCCAACATAGTAAAACCCTGTCTCTACTAAAAATACAACAATTAGCCAGGTGTGCATGGGCATGCACCTTAGTACAGCTACTAGAGAGCTAGAGGGCAGGAAATCGGCGATTAACCTGGGGAGCAAGTCATGCAGTGACGCTGACGATCACAATAACACGGGAGCATTGCACTCGGCCGAGGCGTGAGTCAACA